ATACAGGAATTTTATGATTTTTTCAGGTATCAATGAGTAAAAAATTACGTAACTTTGGTTGTAAGTTTCATATCAACTTCCAACTTGTTTTGTTTCATGAAAACACTCCAGTTAATAAATTCTGAAAGTTTCAAGTTGCTGTGATGGCTCAAAGTATTTTTCAGGAACCTTCAAATGTGATTTTACAGGAGTTTTATGATTTTCTCAAGTAAAAAAATCCGTAATTTTGGTTGTAAGTTTCATATCAATTTCTAATTTGTTTTGTATCATGGAAAAACTTCAATTAATAAATCCTGAAAGTTTCAAGTTGCTGTGATTGCTCCAAGTATTTTTCAGGAATCTTCAAAGGTGATTATACAGGAATTTTATGATTTTTTCAGGTATCAATGAGTAAAAAATTACGTAACTTTGGTTGTAAGTTTCATATCAACTTCCAACTTGTTTTGTTTCATGAAAACACTCCAGTTAATAAATTCTGAAAGTTTCAAGTTGCTGTGATGGCTCAAAGTATTTTTCAGGAACCTTCAAATGTGATTTTACAGGAGTTTTATGATTTTCTCAAGTAAAAAAATCCGTAATTTTTGGTTGTAAGTTTCATATCAATTTCTAATTTGTTTTGTATCATGGAAAAACTTCAATTAATAAATCCTGGAAGTTTCAAGTTGCTCTAATGGCTCCAAGTATTTTTCAGGAATCTTCAAATGTGATTATAACGGAATTTTATGATTTTTTCAGGTATCAATGAGTAAAAAACTACGTAACTTTGGTTGTAAGTTTCATATCAACTTCCAACTTGTTTTCTTTCATGAAAACACTCCAGTTAATAATTTCTGAAAGTTTCAAGTTGCTGTGATTGCTCCAAGTATTTTTCAGGAACCTTAAAAGGTGATTTTATAGGAATTTTATGATTTTCTCAGCTACCAATGAGTAAAAAAATCCGTAACTTTGGTTGTAAGTTTTATATCAACTTCCAACTTGTTTTGTATCATGAAAAAACTCCAATCAATAAATCCTGAAAGTTTCAAGTAGCTGTGATGGTTTAAAGTATTTTTCAGGAACCTTCAAAGGTGATTATACAGGAATTTTATGATTTTTTCAGGTATCAATGAGTAAAAAACTACGTAACTTTGGTTGTAAGTTTCATATCAACTTCCAACGTGTTTTCTTTCATGAAAACACTCCAGTTAATAAATTCTGAAAGTTTCAAGTTGCTATGATGGCTCAAAGTATTTTTCAGGAACCTTCAAATGTGATTTTACAGGAGTTTTATGATTTTCTCAAGTAAAAAAATCCGTAATTTTGGTTGTAAGTTTCATATCAATTTCTAATTTGTTTTGTATCATGGAAAAACTTCAATTAATAAATCCTGGAAGTTTCAAGTTGCTCTAATGGCTCCAAGTATTTTTCAGGAATCTTCAAATGTGATTATAACGGAATTTTATGATTTTTTCAGGTATCAATGAGTAAAAAACTACGTAACTTTGGTTGTAAGTTTCATATCAACTTCCAACTTGTTTTCTTTCATGAAAACACTCCAGTTAATAATTTCTGAAAGTTTCAAGTTGCTGTGATTGCTCCAAGTATTTTTCAGGAACCTTAAAAGGTGATTTTATAGGAATTTTATGATTTTCTCAGCTACCAATGAGTAAAAAAATCCGTAACTTTGGTTGTAAGTTTTATATCAACTTCCAACTTGTTTTGTATCATGAAAAAACTCCAATCAATAAATCCTGAAAGTTTCAAGTAGCTGTGATGGTTTAAAGTATTTTTCAGGAACCTTCAAAGGTGATTATACAGGAATTTTATGATTTTTTCAGGTATCAATGAGTAAAAAACTACGTAACTTTGGTTGTAAGTTTCATATCAACTTCCAACTTGTTTTCTTTCATGAAAACACTCCAGTTAATAAATTCTGAAAGTTTCAAGTTGCTGTGATGGCTCAAAGTATTTTTCAGGAATCTTCAAATGTGATTTTACAGGAGTTTTATGATTTTCTCAAGTAAAAAAATCCGTAATTTTGGTTGTAAGTTTCATATCAACTTCCAACTTGTTTTTTTTCATGAAAACACTCCAGTTAATAAATACTGAAAGTTTCAAGTTGCTGTGATTGCTCCAAGTATTTTTCAGGAATCTTCAAAGGTGATTATACAGGAATTTTATGATTTTTTCAGGTATCAATGAGTAAAAAACTACGTAACTTTGGTTGTAAGTTTCATATCAACTTCCAACTTGTTTTCTTTCATGAAAACACTCCAGTTAATAAATTCTGAAAGTTTCAAGTTGCTGTGATGGCTCAAAGTATTTTTCAGGAATCTTCAAATGTGATTTTACAGGAGTTTTATGATTTTCTCAAGTAAAAAAATCCGTAATTTTGGTTGTAAGTTTCATATCAATTTCTAATTTGTTTTGTATCATGGAAAAACTTCAATTAATAAACCCTGAAAGTTTCAAGTTGCTGTGATTGCTCCAAGTATTTTTCAGGAATCTTCAAAGGTGATTATACTGAAATTTTATGATTTTTTCAAGTATCAATGAGTAAAAAACTACGTAACTTTGGTTGTAAGTTTCATATCAACTTCCAACTTGTTTTGTTTCATGAAAACACTCCAGTTAATAAATTCTGAAAGTTTCAAGTTGCTGTGATGGCTCAAAGTATTTTTCAGGAACCTTTAAATGTGATTTTACAGGAGTTTTATGATTTTCTCAAGTAAAAAAATCCGTAATTTTGGTTGTAAGTTTCATATCAATTTCTAATTTGTTTTGTATCATGGAAAAACTTCAATTAATAAATCCTGAAAGTTTCAAGTTGCTGTGATTGCTCCAAGTATTTTTCAGGAATCTTCAAAGGTGATTATACTGAAATTTTATGATTTTTTCAGGTATCAATGAGTAAAAAACTACGTAACTTTGGTTGTAAGTTTCATATCAACTTCCAACTTGTTTTGTTTCATGAAAACACTTCAGTTAATAATTTTTGAAAGTTTCAAGTTGCTGTGATGGCTCAAAGTATTTTTCAGGAACCTTCAAATGTGATTTTACAGGAGTTTTATGATTTTCTCAAGTAAAAAAATCCGTAATTTTGGTTGTAAGTTTCATATCAATTTCTAATTTGTTTTGTATCATGGAAAAAGTTCAATTAATAAATCCTGAAAGTTTCAAGTTGCTGTGATTGCTCCAAGTATTTTTCAGGAATCTTCAAAGGTGATTATACAGGAATTTTATGATTTTTTCAGGTATCAATGAATAAAAAACTACGTAACTTTGGTTGTAAGTTTCACATCAACTTCCAACTTGTTTTCTTTCATGAAAACACTCCAGTTAATAAATTCTGAAAGTTTCAAGTTGCTGTGATGGCTCAAAGTATTTTTCAGGAATCTTCAAATGTGATTTTACAGGAGTTTTGTGATTTTCTCAAGTAAAAAAATCCGTAATTTTGGTTGTAAGTTTCATATCAACTTCCAACTTGTTTTTTTTCATGAAAACACTCCAGTTAATAAATACTGAAAGTTTTAAGTCGCTGTGATAACTTGAAGTATTTTTCAGGAACCTTTAAAAGTGATCCTACTATTAGACTTAATAAAATTATTGTAGAATTGTATTTTTGACGCCAAATCTGACACTGGAAATTGACAGATTTGAAGAATGCAAAGCCTACTTTGATGATTACGAAATTTGACATCAATGGGTGTTTTCAAGCGATTGACTAGTTAGTAACTCTGACAGATGAACAATGCATTCAATGTCATTTGCAACTAATTGGTTGACAAGAATGTCAACTGTCAAGTTTAATATACTAGTCAAACACTTGAAAATCTTCATCAGCATTTAAGACTCACTCAAATCTTCAAATGGGTTTTAGATCTTCATAGGGACAACGGTTTTAGAATATATTTGTCTCTGTTTAATGCATTTGAAGCAATAAAGAAAATATATATTAAATTTTTATTCACTTGCACCAAGTCTGACACTTGAAATTGACAGATTTGAAAAATCCAAAGTCTACTTTGATGTTCCTCAAGCATGAAATCAATGTAGGTTTTATCGATATTCACAAGTATCGATACGATATTATTTAAGAGAGTCTCTACTTCTTTTTCATATCGATATTAATATGAGAAAATAAAATATCGATACTTTCATTACGATACACTAAAGTGTAACAATTTTTTCTCAATTTCTTGTGAATTTCTTTCCTTTATTTCTCAATTTTTCCTGCTTTTGAATTTGTCAAAATATAGAAAGTTCAAGTGCCTGGAATAGAAAAAACATTACCTAACACACTACAAATTCTTTTTTTAGCAAAAGTTGTCCTGACTGTCTGGCTCTAGTGAACATCTTATTTATTTATCCACCGCCGTTGTTGGGACAATTTGTTTGTTTTCCCTCAGGTGATAAATGACCCGGGGCGGGAAATTAAGGCACGAAACAAAGTGTTTGTCTGAGGCTCGCTAATGACTTTCCTGCCCCCTTTTACGACACTATAACGAGCTGTTTTTGCACCCCCTCCCGTGTTAATTTCTAAGGTCAACGTTTTCAATTTTCTCTTAGATGTATAAAGAAAGATTCAAATTTTATAAAACAATAGGAGCTTTTATCTAATATAGGAGGAAAGGTATTTTAAAATGTAACAAATTTGTTAGGAAAACAATGATGTTTGCTTAAGAAATTCGTGTCTATAGTGGAAAAATTCTGTTTAAGCGCATCTGTTTAATCTCTGACGTAATACCTTTTTTCTTTTTGCAAAAATATTCTAAATATAAAACCGTTTTAAACATATACATACATTCAGTAGATAGAATGCTTTCCTGTATAAAACCAGCAGGGAAAATCTCTGGCAACGATCCAGCAGGACTTTCTCGCGACTGCCACTTTAATTTAATTTTTGCTTGTGTTGTGTTTGTTGTTGGGAGCAACTTAAAATCTTTACTTTTCTAGTTTAAATCTGTTTTGGGTTTTTTCAAGGTAATATTTATATCACATTGATGTAAATTCAGACTTACTTTGTATAACAGCCGATGTCCGATTTATCGGTCCTAGGAGTGATCGCGAATTGTGACGGAGCAAAGTCGCAAAGTCACGTTTTCCTTGGTCTTTCAGCAAAAGTTCGGTTGCCCTGTCGCAACAGTGGCCGTTGCACAGGGCTCCTGAAAAAAACAAGAAAAATTAATTTTCATTTTATTCTATACTATGTTTGAAAATGCAAAAGTATGAACCAAATAGTTCCAAACAAATTATTTCATTGATACACTCTGTATATTATTGGCTCTGCACTCTTAATGAAAAGGAAACAGAGTATAAATACAATACATAATCGTTTTATTATCGAGAATCCTTTTAATTATTAATAATTTATTCTAGGAAAATGTGCTTTTGCCGCATTTTATTGTATAGGTATGTATGTATGTGTTTATTTATTTATTAATCATAAGAAAAAGATTGTTTGAAATTTCTATAGTACTTAAATTGTTTAATGTATTTGTATTGGGTTTTAATTGCTGACTATATGCAAAATCTAATTTCTAAGAACAAATATTAATTATATACTTATATGTTTTCTCAATACAGTTATTACCGCTCTTGAACCTTTTAATTCGTCAACATATAGCGACAAAGACTTTATCTTTTTTGCGAATCGATGTTTCAAGATAAAGATAAGGAAATTTCTAGGAAACATTCCACACTCATCAAGTTGACTCGGGACTAAACATCAGCAATAAATGGCATTTTAGCAATTTTATGTAATAAATAATAACAATCCAAAAAGCAGACACATAAATTGTTTTTTTTACTACTAACCTGAGAAATAGACATTATTCAATCTATTTTTCTAAGAAAAAATTGAATTTCTCTCCCTAGGTTAATAATGAAAATAATGAAAAAATACCTAGGTCAATAATGAAAATGACGTCATGACGCAAGGATATTGTCATGTTTCTATTGGTTCCATTTCAATTTTATACGTCAATTTGAAAAAAAAATACAGGTTTCTGTAGGTACATAGCAAGTTCTATAAGCTGTTGATAGAGGGCAGCACTATCAAGAGGGCGTTCACAAAAAATAATTAGAACAGATTTTAAACAAATTTTTTATTTTCTACTAGCAGTAGTAAAAAAAATTCTATATATTCCTCGGTAGAGAAAGTCATTATATACCTCAAGCATTATAAACCTCGGCGCTGCGCTTTCGGTATATAATGACCAACTTCTCTATCTAGGTATATAATATACTATTTTTTTACTACTAACCTGAGAAGCAGTCATTATTCCATCAATTTTTCTGGGTTAATAATGAAAATAATGAAAAAATACCTAGGTCAATAATGAAAATGACGTCATGACGCAAGGATATTGTCATGTTTCTATTGGTTCCATTTCAATTTTATACGTCAATTTGAAAAAAAAATACAGGTTTCTGTAGGTACATAGCAAGTTCTATAAGCTGTTGATAGAGGGCAGCACTATCAAGAGGGCGTTCACAAAAAATAATTAGAACAGATTTTAAACAAATTTTTTATTTTCTACTAGCAGTAGTAAAAAAAATTCTATATATTCCTCGGTAGAGAAAGTCATTATATACCTCAAGCATTATAAACCTCGGCGCTGCGCTTTCGGTATATAATGACCAACTTCTCTACCTAGGTATATAATATACTATTTTTTTACTACTAACCTGAGAAGCAGTCATTATTCCATCAATTTTTCTGGGTTAATAATGAAAATAATGAAAAAATACCTAGGTCAATAATGAAAATGACGTCATGACGCAAGGATATTGTCATGTTTCTATTGGTTCAATTTCAATTTCATACGTCAAATAAAAAAAAAATACAGGTTTCTGTAGGTACATAGGAAGTTATCATAAGCTGTTAATAGAGGGCACCACTTTCAAAAGGGCGTTCAAAAAAAATAATTAGAGCAAAGATTACAAATTATTAATTTTCCACTAGCAGTAGTAAAAAAAAATATATTCCCTGGTAGAGAAAGCTCATTATATTATATACCTTACGCATTATAGACCTCAACTATTTTAGGGGAGCCCTAACAATAAGTATTCCCTAAAATGACATTTTCACATGGAGAAATGTCAGTTCAAGGCATACTTATTGTTAGGGCTTCCCTAAAATAATTGGTGGAAATGGCCTTTAGAAAAATTAAGAAAAAAACGAAAATTCAAGATCCGGGAATAGACAAAATATGAGATGGAAAAATTGGGAAATAAAGAATAAATAAATATATACTTACAGATAATAATAATATTAATAATATTACCTGAAAAAACTTGCAAAAATATTGCGGCAGGGGCATGGCTAACGTTTATATTCATATTCAAAATTTGCAAGAATATGGCGGCAGTACCAAATTTCTATTTGAAAGGGTTAAAAAGGAAACAACCAATCAAATACCTTGACGATACATAAACCCCGAAAAGGGTAAGCCTATCATATTATTCTGATAAAAAAACGGGACATTTTTAAGGAAGTCTCATGTATTTATCCGTAAACCGAACCCAAGGACAATACCAGGAAAAATACACACTACTACTACAGGATAGCCTATCCTCGTAAGACCTGTATGAAGTAAATCTGAAGCCCCCCACCACGCCAAATCACCAGATGTGACGTAGGCAGCATGTCGTTTCTCGCATTGACGTAGGCTGTTTGCACCACAGACAGGTTATGATTCCGTGGGCTTTTGCTTTAGGCATATTTGGTTTTACTACATTAAATTCTAAACTACGACCGCTAGTGCAAATAGCTGAAGACTTTCGGACTTAGTAAATGACGTCTGACGTCGGACATGGTGAAACACCAATATGGCGGCGATTATTATCCATTCTCAAGGTTCCTTAATAAGTTAATAGGTTTTCTGGTAACGGGTAATTTGTTGACGCATCTGGGGTGCTTTATGGAGTTTTGCATTATGTTAAGGCATACAGATGACGTCATAAAAGTTATCAGGCAACCTCCCTCTTTTTAAACAACCTTGATCCATTGTATTATCCTTGGGCCGAAGCCGCCAAATTTCAAACTGTCAAACTGTCAAATGTCAAATGCTTTTGAATAACCAATGGAATAACTGATCACATGTTGCATATGTTGCGATTTGCTGAGACTAGAGATGAGGCGCAAAAATCGATTTACTAATGCTACCGCAAAGACTAGGAATGAGACGCAAAAATCGAATTATTTTACGCTTTTTAAAATATCAGAAAATGCGGGACATTTACGCGTCCTGACAACAAATTTGGGGACGCGGGACATGGACCTTGAAATAAGGGACTGTCCCGTATAATACGGGACGTATGGCAGGCTTAGGAAAAGAGCAGGGCTCAACTAACCAATTGAATGCCCTGCTGATATCACTCGCATCTGATTGGAAAGGGACGGGGCTTATATCCAACCTATCAAATGCTTTGTTGATATCCTTGCGTTTGATAACGAGTCAGCCACAGTGTTGCCAGTTTGACGGAATTATTCCCTTTTTGAGGAAATTTTCTATTTTCATTCGCAAAGGGTAGAAGCGGAATTTTTAAAGTCTTTTTTTTTTTAAAGATAAAAGTCAAAATGACATTATGTTGGCAAAACAATGTTAAATTGTCGATGCTTTTAAATTTTTTATGTAGAGAAGGCTTGTGTTGTCAACATAGTTACTAAATTTTTGACTTGGGGAATTATCTTTAAAAAAAACAGACTTTACTTTTTCTTTTATTTAGTTATACACACGATATACAATAGGTATACAGGGTGGGCCATTGAACTTAAGACATTATTGAACATTTGTTTTTCAAAAACGGGCCATTTTCGAGATATTGAAATGTCTCAATTTAAATGAACCACCCTGTATAAGTAAGGGTACAACATCTCATTCTCGACTGTAAGTGAAGGCGCAATAATTCAGTGACGGCTCGTGACTATTTTAAGTGAAGTGAGGAGGCTAAAAAATAAGTCAATTTTAAAAAAAGCAGATTCCTGTATGTACATTATAGGAAATTACGGTAAGCTGTTGATAGAGGGCAGCACTTCCGACAAAAGAAAATAATTTGAGCACAAGTTTCAAACCTATTTTTTATTTTTACTAGCAGTAGTAAATTTTTTTTTATATATTCCTCGGTGACGAAAGTCATTATATACCTTACGCGCTCGGTATATAATGACCAACTTCTCTACCTAGGTATATAATGTACTATTATTAAATATCATAAACAAAATCGTATAGTAATAGGCCCCATGCATCAAATTTTTATTGTTGATTTCGATAGTCCATGAAAAATAAGTCAACACGTATTTTTTCTTTTTCTTCTTAGTCAAAAATTAACGGAGATACAACGCTATGAAATATACCTATGACGTCACTTATATAAATTAGTAACGTTGCACATGCACAGTATATCTATGTATACAAAATTTAATATTTGTATAAGTTCCGGAATAATCATATTTGAGCGAAATTTAAAAAAAGTACATAACGATTTCTTACATCAGTTTGCAATAAGCAATAATCAATTTAATTTTCCATGCAAGATTTGAAATTTGAATGTCCCGCCAATTTATCAAATTACAGTTTCCTTCTTGACCATTGCTTTTGACAATATTGGAGGATTCTGACAATTATGACAGTTGATTGGTGGTACGTGGAATATTTCCGGTTTATGACGTTTTAATGAAAGGTCATTCGTTAATGTACACCATAAGAGGGCGCTACGGTATTCGGAGCTCTTTAAATTATGGCTGCTTTTAAAACAAAAACTGCACGTCAAATTAAAGTTTTGAACACAACTGTCAATATAACATTATATATACATCGATACCAATGGCAATACGTGACAATTAGTCTGGAAAAAAGGGGAGAGGGAAGTAAATGGCAAACACGCCGCTGATGAAGTTTTTTGCATATTTCAAAGCCATTTACAGTTAATATTTCCGCATCGTGATTATTGTGATTTTTCTCTTGATTGTCTATTTTCGTGAGGAAAAAAAAACTACCCCCATTACCTTGACACGACGCCCCTAATCGATACGCCCTAATATCGATATTGTATCGATAAGGATCTTGCAAGATTTCTCTAACGTCATATACATTAAAAGCAATTGGGAATTTTTAAATATTCGAACATTCATATTTTTTTCTATTCCAGGCTCTTGAAT